CTTCTGTCTCACTTTTGTTAAAAAAAGAGTACAGATACATTTTCTGAGAACTCTGATTTATATAGTTTTGAATAGAATTTAAATACTTCCATAGAAATTTGTCTTTGGTCAGATATAGTTTCACCATCTATGATTAAATCTTTGAGACTGTTTTTACTCTGTGTGAAGTGATTATGGATAATCCAATGGGTTATCGCAAGTAATAAATGAGACTCAATCAAGATTTATAAAAGGAAGGAACAGCCATAATGATATATGTTTACAATAATTGAATTACTATATAATAACATTAACAGTTCAGTTTCTCTTAGTAATGGAATGTCACCACGATTCCTCATCAATCGGGGAGTTAGACAGGGTTGTCCCATTGCTCCCTTATTATTTATATTGGCTGCAGAAACATTAGCAATCCTAATCAAAAACAGTAACATCAAGCCGTTGAATGCCATGGGCACTCCTATTATTATTAGCCAAATGGCAGATGACAAAACATTATTTCTAAAAGATAAAGATCAGATATCATTGTCAATTGAAACTATTAAGACATTTTCAAATGCTTCAGGATTATCTTTAAACATTAATAAATGTGAAATAATGACGATACATGATAACTAACAGGGATTAAACATTCTCCAGCTAACAACATCTCCAAAACTCAGGCTAGGCTTAACAGCTAGTTGCAAAGAGATATCTCCTTATTTGGTAGAATTATTTTGGTTAAAACAGAAAGTATCTCACGATTTATCTACCCAGCAGCTTCAATCTCCATTCCCACCTCAATAATTAAAAATATTTAAAAAATACATTTCTCCTACATCTGGAACAAGAAAGTACATAATATAAAAAATTCCAATGATTTAATCATATGAAGAGGGTGGTGCCAATAGGATAGATTTTGATATCATGAATGGTACCATAAAGATAAAATGGTCGCATTCCTTTATGGAGGATACAGACAGCTTTTGAGTTGCTATTCCTAGGAGATTAATGGGAGAATTAGGAGGCATTGACCTCCTGTTGAGATGTGATTTTGATCTAACCAAGCTCCCAATAAGACTATCTTCTTTTCATCAACAAGTACAGCAATATTGTAAACTATTATATAACCATAACTTCACCCCTCATAATTCTAGTATTTGGAACAGATACATCCTGCAAAAGAAAAAGAGCAAATTTTACTAATCTTAGTTCAATAAAGGTATTTGGTCAGTGGTGCATCTTTTAGAAGCTAATGGAGATGTCTATGAATATGGTGACTTTGTTAAAAAATATGACATTGAATGCAAAGCAAAGCAATTCAAAGAAAGTACTGAGGCAATTCCAACAGCCCTCCTAGCTTTGGTAAAAGAAATTATGAGATTCTGTGTTTTTAGGGAACTTGGGTTTCCTGAGTAAAAGATACCTCAGTTAGAAAACATCTTTCCTGCTTAGGGTGCATTTTTATGGATAGGGATATAGGCTCCCATTTATTTCATGGCATCTGGGGTGCAGAGAGAGATTTAACTGCAGGTTACAGTGCATTCAGTGAGAAGGCAGCTCATCTCTTGTGTGGCCTCTGTAGGCATATTAAGAGTTTAACGCTTAGTAGCAGTCTGGGGTGTTCTGGGTGACCAGAATGTTAGGCCCCTGAAATGCCTTGTTTGTAAATACTGTACATAAAGTAACTTGTGTGTTGTATGTTTGGTGTAGTGTAGTTTGTGTGTTTTGTCATTGTAATAAATATTTGTTTTAACCAAGTGTGCCTGGATTATTACTCCTCTCAACAAAGGTATTCCACAAAAATGTGCCTCCAATCATACTAGCTGCTCAGGTATATTGCAAGAAATCAATTACAAATTGGGGGTTATGAATAATTATTTCACTGATTGACTAAACTGCTTGGTCAAAGTGATTTTCACCAGTTTCATAACTCTCCATTTGTAACAATATGATTGTCAGTATTTAATCTCTAACTAAAAAAACATTAAAAAGCAAACAGTTTTCTAATCTTTAATTCAAAGGTCATATACACTACACAGCAAAGTGAAGCCTATCAGTACAGCTAATCCCAAATAAAGCACAGGTCCAATGAACAACAATTAACTTCAAGTATGCTGTGTGAGCGTGTGTATTTAAGTTAAAACTCTGAATGCGTTTCTGCATCACCTTTGAGAGATGTCAGAGTTTACGCTGTGCAGCAGCTGGATAACAGGATTAAGCAGTAAAACAGGAAAGCTGATATACTTAATCAGAAGTGGAGCAGCTGAATTTCAGTTTGTCAAGGTGCTCCCAGAGATGAAAGTGTATGATTTATAATAGTTTATTACAAGAAGGGAGGATATACAGCAATTAATAAACGGAATGTACATTCAACACTATCAGGACAAGAATCTGCTCTGTTTAATAACTTGCTATTCTGTTAAATGCAGCATGAAGATCTGGAAAAATGCTACATCAATAATCTGATATTTAACGCCTTGTTTTTACTGGTCTCTGGTCCCAGTAAAATACTTCTCACAAATGCATAATAGTACATTCTCTAAAAAGCAAATGGTAAATACTTTACTGCAATTTTTTAAAACAGATTTCTAATTTACTCTTCTAAGTAAACTTTTTACTTTTAATTTACTTTTCTAAATGAATTACTTTTTAGAACACTTGTTCTTATGAAAGAAGAGTGGGAGAATGATCTTGCAAGGAACAAAGTGAGGATTTTTAGGGTTACCTACACACTGCAGACACTACTTACTTATTGAATACGGCTGCCAATGTCATTGATAATATACTACATCAGAACAAGAAGTGAAGCGATACAGACAGCTTGTTCTATGGTTGAGTAGTGTCAAAGGAGTTGTAGTCCAGAAGGAGGAGCAGCTTCCTGCCTGCACTTCTGTTTTTTGTGCTGGTCTGATGTCTGATCCATTCTACAGGCAGAAGAGGAAACAGCGCAGCACTGGATGGGTGGGCCAGTGCAGGGAGGGGCTCATGGTTGATTTGTTGTGTTTGATGAGATCTAGGGATTCAATTATAGCTACCCGTACTAAAAATCAAACATGCTAGATAAGCTAAAAGGCTTCCCCTTGTTAATAAACAGTTGTGATCCCAGCACCTGCTTTAATTAGGGTCTAATAAATAATTCTAATATGTCCTTCTCACCTCCACCTTTAGGATTTGCTCTAGAATATGTTTAGGTACAGTATTTGCGAGTAGATATTCCAAACAAGGTAACACTAACTTTGATTAATAGTAACTGAACACACAAACCACCTTTAAATCAATTTGATATACTGTCTGGCCTAGGGGGTGCTCGGGTCTCCGCACCTCACACAATAACGATAACCGCGCTGCCCTGCGTACTCTAATCACCTTCCATCCCACCTTGGCGAACTTCTTCCGCCTTTGGGTCAGGACCTAAACTCGGGCCCCCCCGCCTCCTCACCCAGCAGAGCAAACCGGCTCCTCGGAGAGGGCGCTAACCAGCGGTAAATAAGTTTAATCGCTCAGAGAGCGAATCGCGGTTCTCCTTGCAATCAAACCGTCTCTCGCACACCATTATAATAAAGCCTTGTTGATGTTGATGTTGTTTGTTTGTTTGTTTGTTATCATTATCTTCGACAAGGTAACACTGAACCCACACTAGCGCAGACGCTCTCTGATTCAGATCTTGTAACCGAGAAAGAGCTCGTCTCCCTTTTTAAAGTCTAACCTAATTGGCTCCGGCTGCACCAGGGCTGCGTTGAATGCCTTCATCTGCCTTCCTCTGCTTGCTCTCAAATTGTCCTGCAGATCTCTAGCGGCTTAAACCGACACAAACAGCTGGGGGAGTCATTTTAAAATGGCTTAAAAAAAAACTATTCACAAAAATATGATGTTACAAAATTAAACCTGATGATGGAGACACACGGTATTCGTCTCATTTATAAAACCCTCTTCCTGACATCTGGTTCCGAGTTCCGCGGTTTTGGAGCACCTGTAGTACATTTCTGTTCAACGCGACAGAAGCTTTGACTCAATAAAAAAAACAGCTCTGAGTGTAGCTCAGACTGCAATTACTCAAGCAGTGCTCTGTTAACCCTGCTCCTGCTGCATCATTGCTGGATTCAGTAGCTGTATTGCTATTGTTATTCCTAACCATTTCCTTATTTAATAACATACTTAATAAAGTACATTAAATAAGTATTTAGCTATTTATTTACAGTAGTACATATTTAGTATTCATTTAGATATTTAATAATTTAATTTTAAAATGCTTTTAGTTCAAAAGAGACTTACATTTTATGCACTTTGAGTGAGATCCTGTACCTTCACTCAGGTACAGTACGTTCCGCCTGCGATTTGAGTCCAGTCTCGCACCTCAACCCTCCCGTTGGTCAAGCTAAAATGGTCGTTTGAAAAGTGAATGTATCAGTCGTGAACAACATTGTTGACATTATGCACAACTATGTCAATCACGGGCATTAACAAAATGCACTATATTGAACTGGAGATTAAAAGGCGATTTAATTCATGAGTGAATAAATAAATAAATTCTGATTTATTTATTTTAAATAAATCAGAATTTCTATAAGGTCTATTAAAATTAAACGTAACAGATCGTTATTATGTATTTATCAATTGATTTATTTTCCCTCCTCTTAATTTCCGTTTCTGACAAGTCTGGGTGACTGAATATAACGTGCTGCTCTCACTTCCAATACAGTTAATGCTTCTGCGTCAGATCAACACAGTTTAACAACAATTGAACTCACCTCTGTCAGTGTCACACACTACTGCAGACATTTTTACGTCTTATTAGATGAGTACAATATAATACATAATTGAATGCAAAATATTTTTGTGGATTTTATTTAAATTGTAATAGTATGATTCAAGTTGGTGCAGTAGGTGATGCTTTGATTTTGAATATTTATAGATTATCAATAATATTTACTAGTAATATACAGAGCACATGCAGTTACTGTAAAATTAATGTTCCACCACATGGTCCTGCAGCAAAAGTAGCACAAAAACGTTGTTAATTTTTATGGGTTACAGGCCTTGGCAAAAGGCTCTTTAGTAGGTCTGATCTGTACAATCTGCTTACACAAAATGTACCTTTTCATGTGTTTTTTAAGTTGCTCATCTCTTATCCCGTAGATCAGAGGACTCAGAATCCTTGGTACAATGTGTGATACCAGGTAAGTAAGGAACAGTATGTGTGTGCGGTACTGAGGGAAGTCTGAAAGCATAATTGTGTCGATCACAGGAGTGATGTAGGACAGCATGCAGAGCAGCAGCTGGGCTCCGTGCAGCAGGATGGTGTTTCGAGCCTTTTTAGCTGAAGCTGCGTCTGAAGCTGCGGCCTTTGCTGCAAACAGGATCCTGAAGTAAGTGATTATCAGTATCAGCCACACAGAGAACAGGTACACTGCATGGGTGGCGTAGTTCTTCTCTTCTTTATAGGGCAATTGGAACACGTCGTAACTGTAACATAAAATGTTCGAGGAGAAAAGGCTTAGAGGCTTTGTTGCAAACAAAATGAAGAGGTCTGTCAGTCTGGGAATGGCTCCTGCGCACCAGATGAAGGCAATGAGGATGTAGGTGCGGCGCACAGTGCAGATCTGGGAGTGGCGCAGGGGGTGGCAGATGGCGATGTAGCGCTCGATGGCCATGCCTGCCAGGTTCAGAGGGGTGTTCATAGTGGCATTGGCAGCGATTAGAAGTATAAAGCAGCAGAGGGAAACATTTAATGCCTGGAATATGTAAGACAAAACATGCAAGCTCACAGTCAAAGTAAGCAGGAGGATGTCATTGATTACCATGTGAATGTACAGAATGTACCGTGGGTTATCCGAGAAAACTTGGTTCTTAAAGAAGGTGAAGACAAGCATTGTGTTCATGTAGTTGATGACAACACCAAGGAGAACCACTGTGAAGTTTTTTAGGAAAGCAAAGTAAAAGACATCTTGGTTCAGAAATGCAGCTGTAGTCGAATTCATAGCTGGTACACAGTATGTAGTCACATCTACCTGTGAAACATAAATGTGCATGTTCTTAACATTTGTGAATTCAATCGTATGTCACTAAACCACTCTTCAAGCTTTCTGGTCCTGTTACCTTGATGACCTTCAGAGTAGGAATCCAGTGAGCCAAGTGCAGGAGGAAAGCCTGAATATTCCCACTCTTTTAAAAGTGCCCAGGCCGCACACAAAAGTGCTGCTGTCTCTCATCCTCCACCACACGGTGTACCTGTTCCTTCCTCCCCACAGAGCACAGCACCACATAAGAGCAACTATCAGGCAGGATCCCATGGGTGCTCTTTCCTCTCAGGGCCTGTCTAGAAGCTGAGCTCATGGAAGGTTCCACTAGTTTGCACTTGAGGATTTTGTTAAGCAGTGAAAGAATAACGGCAGAGCAGCACAGCAGAACACGTCCAGGGAGAGTGAGACTGGACCTATTTCACAGTTTAGCAAGACCTTTAACTTTTTCTGACTCTTACATCTTGAAATTCTTCATGAAATCTCTTGCACAGCACCTGCCAGTTCATTTCTGAAACAATAATTTGATGCCTCTGATTTAAAATAGCAATGATTGTTGCTTATGAAAGGTGAGGTAGATTAACAGGAAAGAGAAATTAGTTCTTATTAAAGACACCATAAAAGACACTTTTAATATACACCCATATCCTGCTTGTGGAAAATCTCAGAAATAAAAATTCCTAAAATTTATTTTGGTCAGATCCACATTATCAATCAACTTGGACAAAGTTACATTGTCTCCTTTGTCTGTTATAACTGTTAATGATATTATTTTCTTGTTAATTATGGTATAAGGTATGGTAAAGTGCTGAAAAATGGGATATTGAAATATTTTGATTGTTTCAGAAATTAACAATATCCACTATTAAGTTTCTGAGCTCATAACTGATCGGCATCTAGTGTGTCTGCTGCTAAGGTGAAGCACAGTCTTTAAATCCAGTCTGGATTGATGTCCAGTGACTGTCTTCATCCGGGGTAGAGATTGGAGCTGCCAGTTGAACTAAAAGACACAACGCCTGGAGGGCAATCAGGGCGAGGATACGCTGCACCAAAGATCCCTAGCAAGGCCAGAGCTGAGCTGTATGTCTTGATCTATAAGGTCACCAGATCTGCTTCCAGAATGGGGTTCCATCTTCTCACCTGTCTGATTCATTCTGCACAGAGGGTTTTCCTGTCCCTGCTGCAGCTCCGGGGGCCCACAGGGGAACAAGATTCACCCACCCCACTCCTGCCCAATATGGGCTCAGACAGAACTAGGTGGAGGCTGGCTTGCTCTGTGTCAAGCAGTAGTGTGGCTGGTCACCCGTGTGCTGCCTGGTCTTCAACAGAGAGAGGTCTAAATCAGCAGACCTCAGAAAAACATCTGGGCTCTACTCATAAAATACATGCATGCGATCATCTGGAGGTGCATTATTTATGGTCATACAAATGAGCAGGAGAACCTCAAAGTCCTCTGTAGATCTCAGTTTTCCAGTGCAATTTCCAGAGGACAGGAATTATGTGCCACAGAACTGTGGATATATGACACATCAATAAGTAAGGTCTTAACTGAGCAGCTTTAGAATTGTATAATTTATAATTAAAGACTTAGTCTGCAAAGACAGCAAGGAACAAGTTCTTCATAAATTTCTAATGCTTTGCCTCACGTCTGCAGATGGGAATTTTAAAACAATGATTTTAGAAGCTTGTTAAAGTGTCCAATTTCAGCATCAACAGTAATTTCCCTCTCCCTTTTCATAAAAATAATTCTGCAAAAAGTACTTTTGCTATGATGTGATAACCATGAAACATCCATTGCTGCCTGTATAAAGTACTAAAAATGTAAACATAGGAAGTAGCCTATACCTCAATTCATAATCCCACATCAGGAGCACCGCTAACTGTATTTAAATTACTGTATGTCATAAAAGGTTAACCTTTTAGTGCAAACGTGGCCGCATGCAGCTACTGTCTAAGAAACGACTTAAAAAGAGCATCTCACTTCATTGTTTTACATCACCAAAACCACAAAACCTTCCAGAAAACCTTTTATCAATTGAAAAAGGTTCAACTAGAGCGTCACAAAACTGTTTTCAGAACCAAAAAAAAAAAATGTTTATTTAATCAAACGTGTCCCGTGCTAGGCGTAGTCGCAAGTGTCCGTGGTGTATATCAATATTTACTTTTGATTCCTGCATCATATTTAATCATTTTTTACCAACAAAACCACAAAAACATGTTATCAATCGAAAAAGGACAACCTGAGCTTTAAAAAATGTTTTTTTTAAAAAACAGACATTTGATCACAAAGTCACTTTTTATCTGATGATGCACTTCAAAACTTCCAAAATGCATTGATACGGTAATCAATAAGCCAGCAAAACAAGACCGCAAAAGCAAAAACCAGCAAAAAAAATATATATCCAATGTTTTTACCTTATTCTGAAGCACAAAATATATCCACAAAAGGCTAGACTAACCCACCTCCAGACCTGAAGTAAACTGAACGTTATTGACTTTGGAATAGATATTTGAAGCACAACCGCCAGAAATAAGGTGATCCGATTGGTAAAATACGCTGTCATTCATTGTATTTTCAGCCATTCAGAGCCCTTAGGGTGAGACTTCCTCTAGAAGCCTCAGGCTGCCATCAGTTTCTTATCAGTGCTCCTTTTGTTTCACACCAGAAGGCAATTCTAAGGTTTTTTTTTCAATGCCTAACAGCAGACAAAAAACATTATGTCGATTTTTTTCAAATTGATCAATTTGACCCAGATTTTTATCCAACTAGTAGACACCTACAACAAGGTTTTCAAAGCATTTCCTAGAAACATTTTTCTAAAAAATTCTGACCTCTGAAGACCAAAACCAAATTTCCGCATGCTGTTTTTTGGATTTTTTTTTCACATTTGTCTGGACACATTTAGAAATACAAGAAATTTGAATGTTCACACTTAAAGCCAAGGGGGTTAGCTTCAATTTAAGACCTGAACCAGGCCCCTGCTCCTGTTCTGCTGCAGAGATATAACAAAATATTTAAGGGGAGGGAGGAAATTCCAGGCAGACATTGGCTAAAAGGGTCTTCGCCAGTAAAAGGTCGCAAGGAATTTATCACTGCAAATGACAGATTGGGAGAAAGATTTAATATTTTAATAATAAAATAACATAGAAAAAAATATAAACATATTTAATCTCTGTTAATTCCCTTCTAATACACTTTGATTAGTCTGTCCAGTGGTTTTCATTCTGCAGTTGTTGGTCAAGGGCGCAGAAATTGAGGTTTTGCTGCATTTTAAAATGACTGGGACAGATCATGACAAGGTATGTCTGTCATTATAATCTAATGGAAAAGGAAAAATTTAAGCATTGAAGTTTTTTTTCTGTAATAACTGCCTTTGTCCCCTGAACAATTCCACCTCATTTCAGAATCTGTGTTGTAAACCTTACAGTTTAATCATTGTCATAACTCTCTTCTGAAAGCAAGGCATGTGGCTCTTCAGGTGCTTTCTGAAATTCTCATCCCTCAAGCCATAGATCACAGGGCTCAGCACTCTGGGTACAATATAAACTAAGTAATACCGGGAAAAGCTCAGGTCCAGGAAAATTTCTGTTGATATTCCCACAAGGAAAGGGTCAGTGAAGGGAGGAATGTAGGTCAGCATGGCCAGCAGGAGCTGGAGCCCATGGAGCAGGATGGTGTTTCGGGCCTTTTTAGCGGAGGTCTTCTCAGAGGAGCTGGCCGACCTGGCTGCGAACATGATCCGCAGATAGGTGCACACTATGACCAGCCACACCACTGTTAAATACACTGACATGATGGCTGTCTTTATTTTAGTTTGATAGGAAGTCCTGTAAAAACTCTCACGAATACAGTACACAGAGGTGCTGAAGAAACTGAGCTGCTCCACTGCCAGGACTATAAAGAGGTCTGTGATTGAAGGGATGATGCCCACAATCCAGATAACACCGATGGCGATGTAGGTCCTCTGCAGACTGCAAATCTGGGAGTGGCGCAGGGGGTAGCAGATAGCGATGTATCTCTCCAGAGACATCAGAGCCAGGTTTAAAGGAGTGTTCAGGGTGGTGTTGGATGCAAGAATGACCAAGGTATAGCAGAGAGGGACAAATACAGATGGTTTCACCCTAAGCCAAATGTGCAAAGTCATTGCTACACTCAGCTCAAACACATCATTAATAACCAAATGAACAAACAGCACATAACGGGAATTCTCATAAAATATAGGGTGGTAAAAATATGTAAATATGAGCATCCCATTCACAAAATTGGTTCCTATATATGTAAAAACAAGAATAAAAAGTTTGACAATGGTGAGAGGCAGAATAGGCAAATAGTCGTCCTTAACAGTGAGAATGTTCCCTGATGTAACTCCTGAAGAATTCATTTCATTAGTTTTGTAGCACCTGCAACAGAAAAAGCATGTTCAGTAATGCACAGTAACAATGGAGGTACTTTGTACATATTTACGTTTTGTACAGTAAACAGTGTGGGGAGCACTGGGAGTCATCTGGCATTAGAAGCTGTCATAGAAATAGAAGACCAGCTCAGACCAGCTTCGTTGTCTGTAGAGACCCAAAGACCCAAAAGACATTCCTAGATATACTGTACAGCTTTTAACAGTACTAGTAACAGCAAGACATTACTTGAGTGGGGTTTAACAAATGCATTATGTAGAAGTAAGGAACCTTTCTCAGCAATATAAAAACTGCCTCACTTTTCTCTGCTTTGAGCTCTGTTAAACATGCTTAATGGGTGGTGAAATCAAAGCTGGAACACGTCTACACATGAATGATATTATTGCAGACGTGATATGGCTGGGTGTTACAGGTGCTGAGACAGTAGTAAAACTTTCCCTCAAAGTCATTAAGCAGGAAGCAATTCACTAGCATAAACTGAAGCACTCGCAGACCAGAATAAGTACAAGATTTCTGTGGCTGTGTTTTATGGCACACATATCATACATTCAATATTAGCTTGCATTGGTCATACTGTATGGCTTTTTAATGAAACAAAATGAGCAAAAAGTTATAATGAAAAAAGCTTTCAAGATTTCCCAAAAAAAATTATTTGTAGTTTTGTAATTAAGTACTACTTAAGATATGGACATTATTTACACAAACTGCTGGTGCAGATAAATGACACACATGCTAGACAAGTACATTTAAAGTAAGAATACTGTTTGATCCTAATTAAAAAAAACAGAGTGATGTGAGTCACTGTTAAAAGCAGCACTTGAATGAATGCCTGAGATAGAACACTACGGCAGTCACAGTGCAATGCTAGTGGAAACTCATACCTGAGAGGAACACACACCTGAACCAAGAACACCACAGTGGCTGCAGAGGAAGACAACACTCACAGTGATATTCTGCACAATAAACCTACAGTTGTTCAACCATCCAGAGAAATTAGGAAGCCAAGCACTTCTCTCAGTATAAAGTCTATCTAAAGCCTCTAAAATAAGAGAGGAGATCTTCTGCTAACTATTAAAGCCAGAGATACTGTTGCATTTAATAAAAACCCTGTAAAAATAGAGAAATTCCATTGTTTAATTGTTGTAAATTTCCTGCTTGAAGGCAAGAAGCAGCAGGAGGCAGTTTTTGCAGGACTTGATGTGGAAGTACGGAACAAGCTGCCCAGCCACACTGCTGCAGCTGGCTGAGATCCTCAGATCAATTGACCGCTGAGGAAACCAATGAGCTACAGTAGACGGGCTAAATAGGCACCTACTGTAGCTCTTAGGTTATTGTGTTCTTATATTCCTGCTAAACTGTGCTGCATGTGCCTATCTTCTCCTGTCAGTTTATACTGAGGCTGGTCATGGAAGAGTATTCTTCCATTGCAGTAGGAAAAAACAATTTAATGCTGTATGTGTCTAAACATCAGACGGCAGGAGTTTTATCACCACTTTTCTGTTTCAGGCCGATCAGCGTCAAGCACCGCAGTGTGTGTTGAGCCCTGTGGAGCCGCAGGCAGCAGGTCCTTACCGTCTGCAGGACACTCTCACAGTGGGGCAGGAGGGCTGGTTTATCTGGAGTCTTTCTGTTCTGCTGCTCGTCTGAGCTGTGATGTATCCTGTGACCTTTCGGTAGTCAGGGAGTCCAGGGACGAGCAGAAACATGGGATTGAAGTGCGTTCTGGGATACAGGGGATCATGAGAACTATTTATGTTAAAAGTAAATTGATCCCGCTGTGTAGTCTATAGAATCATATCTTTTGTTGTTTGTCATCCCTCAATCAGTCGCTGACAACCAGATACACTAATGTTCAGGGTCTAGTTCAGAGGCTGTAAAATTACTTCTGTATGCATTTACAGATTTGTGTAAAATGTAGCAGTTTATTTCCTTGAGTAAAACAAGACTCTATAGAGTAAACTGTACTCTTGACAAAGGTGGACAGAAGAGTCCAAATTTGAAAAATCACTCTGTGTGTCAAATGAAGGATTTTATCCTTCTCTGCAGCGCTTCACAGCCTGACACATTTAAACTCAAAGAACAGAAAATATATTATACAGACAAAAGAAAACAGGAGAAGCATGCTAATGGTTGGCTTCAAAGTGTCACAGGCGTGTGAAGAGCCCTACTCTGGTCGGGCAGTGAACGAGTCCAGTAGGACGAAGATGAAGCCGGGTTAGCAGGCAGGGTCATATCCAAGAGGCAGGAAGAGAGTGTGACAAATCCAGAGGGCAAGACGAAGACCTAGTATTTTTTTGTGACACAAAGGCTATTTTTAAATTAGAGACTCAAGATAATGAATGGGTTTATGTACAATTCATTGTATTCTCTATAGTCACTTACACAACCTCTTCAAAGCAATGTAAAAGGAGATAATGTAACTTTGTTTAGGTTGGCTGATAATGATGGACTGACTAATATGTAAAAGTAATTTGAGCTTTATTTATTAAATGTCATGTAAAACTACATGGAATTTATCACTGCAAATGATAGATTAGTAAACCAACAATTTAATAATATTATCATGATTATTTCTTAGATATTTTCAACAGTAAAAATTCAGTAAATATAAACGTAGTTTTCCTTATTAAACAACATTTAAAATAGAACAATATTTGGAGCATCAAGTCTGTTAATTCCCTGTTAATACACTTTGATTAGTCTGTCCAGTGGTTTTCATTCTGCAGCTGTTGGTCAAAGACACAAAAATTGAAGTGTTGCTGTATTTTAAAATGATTCGTAAAGATCATGACAAGGTATGTCCGTCATTATAATCGAATGGAAAAGGAAAAATATAAGCATTGGAGTTTTTTTCTGTAATCACTGCCTTTGTCCCCTGAACAATTCCACCTCATTTCAGAATCTGTAACGCTTACAGTTTAATCATTGTCGTGACTCTCTTCTGAAAGCAAGGCATGTGGCTCTTCAGGTGCTTTCTGAAATTCTCTTCCCTCAAGCCATAGATCACAGGGCTCAGCACTCTGGGTACAATATAAACTAAGTAATACCGGACAAAGTCCAGGTCCAAGAACATCTCTCTAGGTATTCCCACAAGGAAAAGATCTGTGAAGGGAGGAATGTAGGTCAGCATGGCCAGCAGGAGCTGGAGCCCGTGGAGCAGGATGGTGTTTCGGGCCTTTTTAGCAGAGGTCTTCTCAGAGGAGCTGGCCGACCTG